ACCACTGACTTTCACTTTCCCTACAGAAGTCTGTGTATATTCTCACATGTTAGTTTACCCACTTTATTAAAGGGAAGAATATCAAACAGAATTGCACTTGTTTTTATTAAGACACTCTGATCTGGGCATTTTGAGAAAAGCAACTCAGAGGCAATTTGCTAATCTTGCATCCTGTAATTAGACCAGGGGCCTTTATACAAAGTTGGTGAGCTTCACACAGCCCTTAGGCTATGCTTCCCAGCACTTGTTTAGCAGATTTAACAGCTTCCACCTTGGTGTTGTAGAAACAAAAATAAATCTGCACATTTCCAAGAAAAACAAAAGAAATTAATTTCTACTCTACCAAAGAAAAGCATTCATAGGAACCACACACAGCTCAATGAGCTAGAATTTAAAAACAGATACAGCCTGCCAGCATTTTTAGTATTCAATAATAGCAGTGGTCACCTGGGGCAGCGGAAATAACATGGTAACGATATTTTGAGAGGTTCCTGGAATCAAAACACAGGTCATATTTTTCCCCTTTCCTTTTGTTTTCAGGGGAAAATTAGTTATTCTCTCAGGGACTGGGGATAGTTATTTTGTCAGACTATGATATCCAAGCATAGTCTGTTTCTTCCCACATTTAGCCTGAAACTAGTATAGTGAAAAATCATCTCCTGATATTAGCCAATTTTCAAGCCAAGAGTTGTAGCACATTCAGCTCTCTGAAATGGGAAGTGCACAGGGCTCAGGGGACTGATCTAGGTAAAAACAAAAACACCTATTACTAAGTGACTGGCAGTGAAATCTATTTAGAAACGAAAATATAAAGCAGGTAGTAAAATTAATGGAAGAACAAACAAGTTTTGATATTTACCTTGTCATATTAAACTGTATGAATATGATTACAAAGGATAATAGCAATTCTCTGCTGTTTAAGTGACTGGCAGTGAAATCTATTTAGAAACGAAAATATAAAGCAGGTAGTAAAATTAATGGGAGAACAAACAAATTTTGATATTTACCTTGTCATATTAAACTGTATGAATATGATTACAAAGGATAATAGCAATTCTCTGCTGTTAAAAATTTGATACAAACCTTTAAATGTGTGAATTTTTAAAAAATGCATTTAGCAAAGTCTGCCACTTCCTAATGCATAAGGAAATACAGTGGTTGACTTTAAAGCCTTTTTGCAGTTTTGCTACTATGTATCAAAAACCAAAATTATAGAGTACTATAAAATATTTTTTGCTCCTTGACACTACATAATGAAGACTGTTCATCTTTTACTCATTTATTCCAAGAAAGTAAACATATATGTCAATTCAGTGTATTAACATATTTCTAACTGTGGCAATTTAGGGAGATGGCCAGGATAAAGTTGTGAATAAAACTAAATCACAGAATTTTAAAAATAAGTGCAGTTGCATTTAGATACAGCTCATGAACTAAACGTAGATAGTACTGGAAAATTAAAGTCCTTAGCAGCTTGTTCCAATGAACAGCTAAAAATGATTTGTGATTAGCATAGCCATTCTTGGTAACCAACTCACAGAACACATACTCGTATATTAAATTTGATTAATTATACTATGAATTCTCTTGCAACATGCCCTCCCCCCATGGATACTGTGAAGATATCAAGTTCACAAATGGAGGGTTTCACTCAACCCAAATGTACTTCTAATCTGTTTTATAAGGACTTGGGAGTTAGGCCACTGAAAAGATCACTGTAGCTTTTAAGTTCTGAAACTTCACCCTGGTAGAGGTTTTATAAAGTGAAAGCAGACATTGTCACTGACTGATTCAGATTTCAAAAATCAATGAAAATGTTCCACTAAGTACAAAAATTCTCAGTACGTAATCACTTATAGTCACAGAGCCATTTAAAAACTACCTAGGCTTTTCCTGACCGCCTTAAGACTAAAATCAGGTGCTGCTGCTATCCATGCTTATCTATTTTTTTCTTTAGCAGAGCACTTATCAACTGGTATTATAATTCCTGGATTGTTTGTCTGTCTCTCCTGCTAGACTGATTGTAAGCTCTATGAGGACCAGAAGTGTATTTACACATTTCTACAGTATTGTACTTTAATATACTCATATATATAAACTTGCACTCATCAATAACTGTAATAAATTATTTTGGATATTTCTTTTAATGAACCCTCTTCCACTAGATGCTCAGATCCATGTCTGTGATGTTTACCATTTATCGCCCTAACTAGTCAACTAAATGGGTATATATTTGTTAAATGAATGTCCATTGCCTAGTAGAGTGTTAGCAAACAAATAATTTGGTGAACTAATGAATTAATTTTCTAAAGCAGAATAAGCTTTTCTTCTTTCCGGAGCTGAGTAGGTGTTCAAACAAACCAGAATGCCTGCCTTAAAACTTGCAAAGTTAATCTTGGACTCTCGAGCACTAGAAATTCTTATTTGGGGGTTCTCAACTCTATCCACCTCTGCATGTGCCTCCAAAAAAATAGACACTATGGGTTTGAATCCCCATACTGGCCAGACACCAAAAAAACACAAACAAAACAAAACAAAACAAAAAAACCCAAAACCAAAATTAGACACTCACATTCCTTGACTGAAGAATGTACATCCTCTAAGAGAACATCCCATTTCCTTTGTTAAATATATTAAGGAGGATTATGAAAAGAATAGAGAGAGATACAAGAACACCTACTACTTAGCCTTTCAGATCAGCTCAATCTATACAGGCAACCAATGGAGACAGAAGTCTGCTGGTATTAGTCCATTTAGGTTGTTTATAACAAAATACCTGAAACTGAGTGACTTATAAAGAAAAATGATATTTATTCTTACAGTTTCTGAGACCAGGAAGTCCAAAGTCCATCTGGTAGTAGAAACAGTGACTCAGGGGTCTCACATTGCAAGGTGGTAGAAGCAGAGAGAGCAGAGAGAGACAGAGAGACAGACTCTCCTCTTATTTTAAAGTCCTCAGAACCATGCCCTGACCACCATTTTTAATCCATTCACTACTACACTGTCCTATAATCCAATCACCTCTTCAAAGCTCCACCTTTCCATTACTATAATAGGATTTCCCACCCTCTTAACAGTCACAGTAGGGATTAAGCACTAATACATAAAACTTGGGGACACAATTCAAGCTTCAGTGAGTTTTGGGGGCACATAATTCAATCTACTACATTGCTCTGATGTCCCCCAAAACAAATTCTAAATTTAAAAGCAGCAGGCAAAGGAACAACAATGGCGACAAAATGATTGTAAGATGACAAATTATTTTAACAGAGAATCTATCATATGAGGAAAATAATGTGGTGTCTAAATCCAATAATTATCATTAGTGAGTAGTTATTAAATAACCATTAAAGAGAGAGCTATCTCATTTGTGACTTTAAAATCCATCACTGTACTCAAATACGAACTATGCATGCAAACAAAAAGAGTTTAACTGGAGTTAGAAATAACACCCTCATGCCCACTTACACTGTGAACATATTTAGCAACTTCTCGAAAACAACTGACCAGCTGAAGCCTTAACACTCTCCCCCAACCCCCTGTGTAACAGTTTCTTGAAGCTTTTCATCAAGACAGCTCTGTTGAAGATCTCTAGTTCATTAACCACCCCCCGGGCTGAACTGGGTCCCTCCTTCCCTCTTTCAGGGATGCTCCTGAAGGCATTCTGGCTTCCGTCACCATGGGGATCCTCCCTGCCCTGTGGGGTCCTTCTCTAGGGCTGCTGACTGGCCGGAGAGGAAGCGCATGCCAACCTGCACTCATTAGAGATGATTACTTTCTCACTTCAAAGTTTTTGTTTTTTATTTTCTTTTCTTAAATAAGCACTCAATCAAGCAATTCAATCCAAATTGTGATGTTGATTATTAATATAATTTTCTACCCCTCACAAAATCTCCAGCCCTCCTAAATGCAGATATTCAGAAATGCACACATCTAAATGTGAGTATAACTGTGAAGACAATAAGGTCAAAGACCTCAGTTCGCCTTTATTTATGATTCTTGGCTCTACAAATCTAAATCTGTATTGGAGTCCCACACACAGGTTCTTAGTGTTTGTTTCAAAAGGAAGTGAAATAGAGAAGTGGACAGGGAATAAATGGTCAGACAGCTAGAGAGAAGTATCTGAAGAGGAATTCCACTTCTAAAATTCTTCTTGAGACCTCTAGTCATTCAGCTCCTTCCCAGGATAGGTACCCCAAATCTCAGTTCCTCAGTCAAGATCTGTGAGCAACCCTCCCCTCTGCCTTTTTCAGTCATAATGCTTCTGCTCCAGACAAGTATAATTTTACTCCATCTCTGGATCCTTTCTGTCCCAAGTCCCTTCAGCTGTAGGATTCTGCATCCCTCCTTTCATTTATGTAATAATATTACTTCCCTCGAAAGCTGACAATTTATAATTTGTCTTCTTCTAAGAAGCTTTTCCTCACTACTGCTTATTCAAACCTTGAGCTCCCTGTTCCTTCCCCCCATGCTCTTTTTAAGACCTGTGTTAAGTAAACTCCTTTGGCACTTTTTCATTGTGTTTTGTGACTGACTGACATTTGCTTTTCATAGGTATTGGTAATCACTTTGGCTTTCATAGCTTCATAATCTAATATAGTTTAAAAACAACTCCTAAAGAGTTGGGTTGAATCACATAAAGTAGTGTTTTAAACAGGTCAAATATAGTCAAATATCAATAGTGTTATGTAGCTCAACTTAATACATCAGAACTCAACAAATGCTCTTAAATAAGTATGTCTTCTTGTCACCTTCTTCCTCAGGACAATTATTTAGACACTGCCCCACAATGGTTAAGTATCTCTCTCTAAAACCTATAAAAAGATTTTCCCCAAACCGATAAGCGTTCAAAGCTTTTTCCAAATTTCAAGTTACTATTATAAAAAAAATAAAACAACACATTGTATATTGGTAACTGAAATAACAAAGAATTTCATGACATTTCTAAAAATGTAGCAAAAAAGGAAAACTCAGGTTGAACAATAAAATCTTGAGCTTACCTTCTTCTGTAGGATTAAACCCACAGATGTCACAAATACAGCGCACCCACTTATTCATCTCCTCTTCACTGTCTGCTACCAAGTAGAAAATCCGGTCAATAGTGTTGATATCAAAAATATAGCTGTTTTCAAACTCTTTTTTGTTAAATGTCAATCCAGCATCGACTTGCTGACATAGATTTAAATCAATAATTCGTATGGGCTTCTTGGCATGATCATTTTTGTAATATTCCAAGACATCTGGATCTCCAGTTAAACGGCCACTGCGTAACACAAACCATCTCCTCTTCCATGCCTAGGCACAAAACAAAAATATTTATTTAGTATTAATTGGAGAGAACTTTTCAAAAAGATGCACATTTACCAAACCAATTTTATAAATGTATTATTTTGAGAAAGTCAGTTTTTCTTTTTTTTTTTTGATTCCATAGGACAATCTGCCACTTTGAAAAGCAAAGTTTATTGATGCCTCAATTATTGTCACGATGTATATATATTTAGTATCTTCTATTAAATCTCCTACTATACAATGCCAAGCCAGCAAACCATTGAAGGTTTGGTTTTTAGTACATATAAAAAAAGTAATGGTTTCAACAAATGGTGTTGGGAAAACTATAGCCACATGCAAAAGAATGAAGCTGGACATGCGGTCAAATTCCGAGACAGAAAGCAGAATGATGGTTGTCAGGGCTGGGGCGGGGAGGGGAAAATGGGGAATTAATGTTTAATGGGTAAAGGGTTTCTTTCAATTGGGGAAGATGAAACAGTTCTGAGGATGGACGGTGATCATGCCTGCACAACAACGTGAGTGTACTTAATGCCATCGAACTTAAAAAGAGTTTTAAAAAGGTAAATTTTATGTTATGTATATTTTAGCACAGTTTTTAAAAAAGCAATGGTTTTTCATGCCTTAATATCATGCCATAAAGAATACACATAAAGATGCTTCCTCATATGACTCCTATAGATTTTAAACTATAGGTTTCTCTATTTTTTAGGTATAGGGGCTAGGAGTGGGGACGGCAAAAATGGTTTAGAAGCTGCTATGGGTCAAATATGTCTCCCAGAAGTTCATATATTGGAAACTTGGTCTCCACTGAAACAGTGTTAAGAGGGTGGGAAATCCAATTATGGTAGGTGAAAAGTGGGGCCTTTGAGAGGTGATTGGACCATGAGGGCTATGCCCTTGTGAATAGATTATTGCATTCATGAAGTAGTGAGACATCATGGGTGTGGTTCTGATGGCTTTATAAGGAGAGATAGTGAAAGGTTAGCTCTTTGGCTCAGGCCGTTCTCGCCTTGTGATACCCTGGTCACCATGGGATTCTGTTACCACTAAGAAGGCCCTTACCAGACGCACTTCCTGGACTATGGACTTCACAGTCTCCAAAACTGTAAGGAGTAAACCTCTTTTCTTATAATTATGCAGTTTCAGGTATTCTGCTATAAGCAACGAAAACAGATACAGAAGCTTTCCTGGCTTCTCATCCAGGAAGCACGCAATGGATTGTGTCTTTCTTTTGGCCAGACGACCTGTTGTTCTGAAGACTACACAGAAAAGGTCTGTTTTTTTAGGTGTGGGATACAACTTTTTTCTAGTTTTTCTGTCCCTCTTCTCAGAGACATTCTGTACTCCAGACTGACTGGCCATTTGAGGTAAGATCGCCCACAGAGGTCACCGCAGGAAGTGGAAGGACTGAGAAACAACATTTTATGAACCCCAGTGGAATCAAATAATCTTATTGGCCACTGCACATTTCTGTTTGCTTGGAGATCATGACTGAGCATGAGTTACATCTCAATCCTTTATTTTAGGAAAGGAATAACCTGAAATAGCATGTCTCTTTTCCAGTGATAACATGGGATAGTGACAACCTTATGCTTGTGGCCTTTTCAGAAATCATTTAGAATATGAGTTTGGTGTTCTAAATAACCTGAAATAGCATGTCTCTTTTCCAGTGATAACATGGGATAGTGACAACCTTATGCTGTGGCCTTTTCAGAAATCATTTAGAATATGAGTTTGGTGTTCTACTACGTAGTTTAATTAGACCAAGAATGCTCACAATGTTAGTACTGTTAACATAGGCCAATTTCCCCAAAACACTATATCTTCATTAACATATTTATCAGTGTATTTATAAGAAAATATCTACTAAATTTAAAATTACCAAAAGCAAGATAGTACAACATGATATTGTCTCTATGTTTTTTATGTCTTAGAAAATTTGCCATATGCAACACAAAAGGCATTACAGTGCCAACTAAAAACAGTTTCATTTTATCCTGAAAAAGAGCCAAGAGAAAAAAGGACTAGTAACTCCTTTATGGAAAAACTTATGCAATTCTTTAACAAAAAGATTACTAGAAAAATCACAAAGGCCTAAAAATATTATGTAGTTCTTTTAATATCATCAGTATTTTAAGTTAATTTCTCAATCTGATTGCAGCCCAAGGAAGAAGAAAATAATTGGTGTCCAGAAGGAGAAGACCAGGTAGAGTTCTACAGATGGTTTAGATAATACTGAAAAGTCATAAATTGTTAGATTTACATGAATTTAGCACTGGTTTCTGGGTTATAAAAATCCATTCATTTAATACATGTCTATGTACTTTAAAATAAACAAATTTCATCTCTTAGTAAAATTATGCATCTATGGATACTTCCCTATTATGCAGTAAGCTTGAAAAAATAATGGAGAGGTAAAGGGAAAAGAAAACAAGAGTATCATGTCATTCATCCAGGGCCATCAAGGAATCATATCTTTTAGTAAGTGATTTCTCCAGATAGTGAAAGTTCCATCTTTAAACTCAGAAATGATTTTAAAACTTTAATGTTTCACATGGAAATCTTTTGAAAATGCCTTACTACATGATTCATTGAACAGAATTCATCCATTCCCCAATGATTCAGGCTAAGTTTTACAGGCATCGATTTCTATACCGTACTTTAGTAAGGCTCTCAAAGGCCACAGGGTTGTATGGGGGGAGGTTGTTTACTCCTATTCTAAATAGTGCCATACTGCTATGCTTGAACAGTTCATCTGTAGTTGTTTTTTTTGTTTTAATTGACCGGTAAGGGGATCGCGACCCTCGGCATGGTGTTGTCTGCACCACGCTCAGCCAGCGAGCGCACGGGCCATTCCTATATAGGAGCCCAACCCGCGGCCTCGGTGCTACCAGCGCCACACTCTCTCAAGTGAGCCACCGGGCCGGCCCCATCTATAATCTTTTAAATACAGTTTTCTTTTCTCTTAAGTTTTATCAATTGTCACTCTCCTTTCTGATAACATGGTTTATAAGAGGCTAAACTCTTTCCCTTCTCAGGGACTTTTCACATGATGTTTTGTAAGTCCATTATGTTCTTTCCCCAGTCTCTGCCTGACCTTTTAGGCCTTCCCTTTCCTGGCCAACCTGAACTCAACCATTCCCAATGTAAAGTAGGGCATAGTTTTAGGGACCCTATTACTTACCTGTGTAGTGATTTGTATAATTTTGCAATTCAATTTTTCTTTGTATTTATTTATTTATTTGGCTTCTAACTCCCTAACCAGACTGAGAAGTCCCAGAAGACAGTAACCATGCCTGCTTTATTTGCATTATATACCTAATGCATAGCACAGTGTCTGATACATAGAAATATTTGTACAATAAATAAATAGAATTCCCCCAAGAGGATAAAGTTTCAAAATTTTTGAGACTATTAGATTCAACATACGGGCCATAGTGAAAAGAAAGAAGTGCAGAAAAGGAGCTCCAGAACTGAACACTTGAGAAAAGGAGCTCCAGAACTGAACACATATATGATAAAATAAACCTAACAACGTTTACCAAAACACATGAATAAAACACCTTGGGACAATGATAAAACAGAAAAGAATGGAACATGTCCTTTAGCTACGGCTTATGTGTCACTCTTTGTCTTCTGGTTGGTTGACTGTGGTGGCTCCCCGCATCCATTCCTTTCCTTTCCTGTTAAAATCACATTGTTAAATTCAAAAGGCCCTTCAAAACTAAAATAAATAGCCAAAAAGTGAGTAGCAATGAATTGAGGTGCACTAGATACATTGGGCCCACAATTACAGAGGCTGAGTAGACATTATACAAAACATGAACCCTTACAGCAGGAAATTACAGCATCAAAACACAGACTTTAGCCAAGCAGCACCTGCCACTTATTTATTTATTTTTAACATGGTCCAAAGTGAATGTTTGTCTCACTCACAAAATGAGTCACTCTCATTGAATCTGGCACAGATTAAAATGGAAAACAAAAGCAATTACATAAACTACACACTTTAATAAGGCAGATACAAAGGTTCTCTGGATTATGGTACAAAGCACAATTTAGCCACAGAATAAAGCTTGATGCTCGACAAGAGAACTGACATCAGCACCCTTGCTAATCACAGCACAAAAGCTTCTCTATGTTTTGTCAGAGCACAAAACGGGCCCACATAAATCAGTCTTTGTTATCTGAAAATATCTGGGATTCTTAAAGTTTGTCCTATTTTTATCCTTGCTGCCTTGGTAGCCCCAGAGAAAGCTGTACACTGCCTCACCAATCCTGCAGAGCAGTAGCCAACAAAAAGGACAGGTTTTCTAGAAACCTCCAATACTCAAAGCAATTTTAAACAAAATTCATGTGAAAAATGTTAACTATTAGACTTTCACTAAGAGCTAGTAATAAAGTTGAAATTTGCAAGAAGTTTGTGTAGTTGAGAACTATGTAAAAACTTATTTTGTCATCATTTCTTATATGCAATAGTCACAACGATTTAAGTTGAATAAATGATGTACTAACATGACTTCATCAGCAAGTCTACATTTTGAAGTAGCTTAAAAGTTCCATACTCTGATACTGATTCTATTTGCTCAGTGATTGCCTACTGCCTACAGGATAAATATCCGCAGGGCACATGGGGCCCTCCAACCAACTCCCTCTCCTCCCCCAATCTCTCCAGCTTCACTTCTTGCCTCTCTGCCCTCCAATCACATCAAAAATACTTGCAGTCTCCTAGCACTCTGCTCTGTCTGTCCTGCCCCTCTGGCCCTGATGCATGCTGCCCCTAAATTAAAGATAGACCTGTCACACTGAAACCAGTTCTTAAGACAGGCTTATCACATACACTGTGGAGTACGGGTATGTACATTCTGTCAAGAAACTACAGATGGGGTCCCATTATTTAGTGGGAAGTAAAAAATTTTCAATCTGGATTAGCACCAAACCAGTACCTGCTATATTATTAACAACTTCAGAACATTTGCCTAATTAGCCTAAATTGTAAATAGGTT